CTGACTATAGCAGATAAGATAACATCCTACTATAATATATCTAATATAGAATAGATAGGCCAGTCGTATTTATTGTTAGATTGTTGCTGTTGTAGGTAACATTATTGATGAAGCACTTCATTGTTGTCGAGTATCTCTTTTCGACTATTGTCTCATTGAAACAACTTAGAGCTGGCATATGTTCAAACAACTACAATACAATCATATATACAAGGTAACGCCAAGCAATAAAAATTACCACAAAACTGACTTTTTATGTATGAATGGAGTATTTTTTTGTAGAAATGTTCTTTTTTGTTCGCTACGCAATGCAGGCAGCCGTTTTCGCAACGTTTTCTGCCCGTCACTCGCCTACGGATACTAATAGACTTCATCTGTGGTGGTGGGGGGTGGGGAGGTACCAACGCCAATAATGAATGAGAGTTGCCGAAATCATAGTAATCGGCTTTTTTTTTTTTTTTTTTTGGTATTTACATTTATTATCTGTGCGTCCATACCAAAAGTGCACAGGACACCTTTAGAACGACAAGAAATGAGCGGTGGAAAAGAAACGTCCTATGTCTAATATAATCGCATGAGAAGCTTCGGTTTCAGAGGTCGGGAATGGTGCAGACCAGCTCAGAACCGACCCTCACCAATTTGAGCAAGTATACGCTGCCTCTCAGGCGTAATTCACGAAATATTACAAAATCAAGCCAAAGCATAGAATTGTGTTCGAAAGTACAGCGACGCACGTGGACACGTGCCTCGAAACGTGCTCGTGCGACAATTTAGCCTATTGTCGACTATGAAATACCTTACGTTTACAAATCAACTATATTCAATGGCTGCTTAAGCTGGTGAAATTAACGTAAGTTATAAATATGAATAGATAAGCATAGAAAACGTTTGTCAATAATATCTATCTGCCGACGATGAGACATCTTGGGAACAAAGTTAAGCTGTGTATCGAAGCCGGATTTGACTTCGAGCGGGAGACCATCCTAGTTTGTTCATCCCATTGTTAAAAACTGTGACCTAGTGTCACTCCATTTGCCATGATCTGTAAAAATACGCGGGAGGCACAGCTCCATTGCGAAACGATGACGGCCTGATCGCAAATGTACAGAGCGTTTACACAGGCGTCAGGGTCATCCGATAGCTTGTGATCATAGCTCGAGTCTCCTTCCTATATGATACACTGTAACGATGGGACACATACAAACATACAGCCACAAACACACGTATATATATATACCGGAGTGACCTTGCTTGACGCGCGGACCCCGTTGCATGCATACGGCAGTCTCATTTCAGTACAATCATTTTAATAGCCAAAGTCGCCCAGGCTATGATACCGCTATCGGTCAGTCAATGAAACCTGTCGCTCAGACCATGAGCGTCGGCCCCGGGCCGGCAAAGCCGTCACAACTACCACAGGCGATCTGTCGTAAGCGGTACTGCGTTCAAGCACAGGCTTTTTTTCCCGCTACAGACTGTTTTATTCACTCTTCATTCAGAGACATCATATCAGACCAAACATTACAACAACGATAACATCATCGGTATGGAGCAGTCGGCCATGAGACCGAGGTTCATTTATCTGCTATCAGAAGCTCTTAAAGTATGGATGTATAGAAAGGACAACTGCCGTTGACAAGATTGTAATAACCCTTGATCAATCTTTTTTTTCTTTTCCCTGCTACGTAGTCGAGACGATTAACTGGTCTGCTGCCGATACCAATTTGAAACACCGATTGTAGAAGTTCAAGTGGGGTCTACTATAGCATGATTGATGCACGATCCATGCTAAATGGACCTCTTATTTTGTGCTGCTACTATGGCAACAGTGGGGAAACGGGACAAATTGTTACTGGAACTGATAAGTTCTACATTCACTATTGTTCAGTCAGTCAATGCTTGTGTAATGAGAGCAAAGTTTTACATACACAGAATTATATAACTTTGTGTTACATACTTCGAAATGTGCCACAAAACGCCTTTGTGTTCTCTCTTAATTACGTAGTTTTTATATATGGATAGCTTAACAACTAACTGGCTAGCGGTTACAAAGGTCACACGTTATTTCACAGAGGCTTTTTTCTGCCTTCTTTAATGTATAGTTAAGTAACGTAACCACAAGCATTTAATCGATCTACATAATCAAGAAATAAAAAATTGGAATAAACAAGATTGACACGATCACGTAACAGGTACGTGTTATATCATATTTACAAAGAAATGCGCATATAAAAACACCCTCACACACATATCTCGTCATACACTCACACTGGCTTACCGTTCGCCCGTCATCCATGATGCACAAGAAAAAAAAAATCGAAAAATGAACCCGTTCCAAATGTGCAAAACTCCAACATGCTAGCATAAATTTTCCACCTTACTCCATATGGACATACCCCTTTGTCAGGTATTACATTTTATCACGGCTATGACGTCGTAATTGCGGCCTTAATATCGCCGCCAATGTAACTTCATATGATAATACATGCCTTTCACGCGGGACCTGCTATGCTTAGATTACCAGATCAGCCGGTCAGAGCTACTTGACTAACATGTCTACAAAAGAGCGACGCCTATTGTTATGACTGCGCTGGCAGTTCGGTGCGATTCTCGGTTATTGCCAAGTCAACAGGCCCCCGATAAATATCCCTTGCTGCCACATCACGAGTGACTGAATAACGCTACAAACTTTTGTGTCTATCTACAGCATACCTTTACGCACAAAGACACAACCAGGATCGTAGCACCGTCACATATGACTGTGCTACGCGGAAGCTCCTATGCTAATGTCTAGCTAAGTACTGCAAACCTAACGTCTCTTATCCAGACCTACACGAGGTTGTTATTTCCATATGACACTTACGTTCGTTCGTTCGTTCGTTCGTTGTCGGGTACTCTCGCCGTTCTTTAAGCGAGAAGCGGCAGACAACGCTAGACTGAACTGTACCAGTTATTCTTTTTGACATATTATCCAGATGATAAAGGTGTGAAATTTGCCTAAGAGCTAGCTGATAATAGAAGCTAGTTTCAGCAAACGCTGGTGGTCGCGGTCGCCGATGGGTCCGTAGGGTCTGGCTTCAGTAAAGGTGGCTGTCTAAGAGCTGTTTAATTGGCAAAAGAAAGGTAGAGGCGTGCTATATACTAAAGCGCACGGTTAGTCATATAGGAAACGGCACATACAGCTACGTCATCACTATAAGGTGTAATACATCTGCCAGAAATATGGAACAGCTCGAACGAATATAAACATCGTGTCCTTAAAAGAAATGTTTGTATTTTGCCTGTGCGCCTGAACTCGTTTGGAGCAAATCAACCCGGAGTCCCGTATTCTCCAGCTAGTTTTAAACAGCCCTTACAAATGGAGGTGCAAGAAACGATCACTTCCCGCCCATAGGCTGACTAATTCTAATGTGCAAATGATGATAAGATATCATTTTTGATCATCTGTGTTCTGTAGTGCTGTTTACTGCACATTTGTTATGACAAACCACCTAAATGAAGACATATAAGGACGGTTAAATATACTATTGTCGATTGAGTGATTTCATCGTTTGATCTTGATTGAATGATCTGTAGCACACGTTTTAGTCTAAAACGTGCTCAGACTGTTCGTGTTAGAAAGGAGCGAACACAGGTAACTAGAAAAACTACCGTCGAGGAACCATTTATAATGGCAAACCTACAAAGTGCACAAGAGTCATCTTCCACTTGGAAGTTATATTAACTATAAGTTAGTATAAGTCGTAAGTTTCGGTTGAGCACCAAAGGGATGTGCATCAGCTTCAATGATGTATTCGTCATAATGATGATAATAATAACGGATGACAGGTTATAGATGTGATACGACGAGTCCATAGTTCCATACCAGCCAGACGAAACGATTTCCAGATCTTGTTAATGCTGTTTCCCTTCTTAAATTGAAGAACGTCGGCGATGTCACTGAATTAGTTTTGCTCGACGCAGGGTAATGCGTGGTGAAGTGCTCTCTTAGGTAGAGATAATAATCATTTCGTAGTTGACCGGACATAGGAACAGTACAAAGGCATACTGCGACATGCCGAAACTTGGACCAATAATGGTTAAATAAATGATACATTGGAACGTTAATATGGAAATGATAGCTGCTTCGTTTGACCGCTTTTATGCGGAGTTTACGACACCTGCCTGTCAACGATTGCGAAACTACGGAAATCAGCTGGTAAACTTGTCTAAGCTGGTAAACTATAGATGCTTTTGTCCATCTGATTTAGATTCATGTAACAAATATACATCGTCCTTTAGAGCTACTTGAATCAAAGAAGAATACGTTCGTTAGATTGAAAATACAACTTTTACAAGGCAAGCTTTTATGGCGCTAATTTTAGTTAGCATTCTCAGCTCTAGCGTCTTCGTTTTACACGCTCCATCCGTTCCTCAGGGGGCTCTTTGCCTTTTGACATCGCCGTCGTTAGAGTTTCCGCAGTGGTAACCCAACTCTGATGCGATCAAAGCGATGTTATACGGCACGAAGCGTTGTATGATACTTAACTGTTAGCAAAAAGAAGTAATCATTACTTATCTAACAAACTGATATTCTTCGCTTGAAAAAATGCTAGAAATACCCGCCCTTCTAGGCACCGTTTCAATTTCTGTTATCTTATGATCGTTGTTGTACCACTCTGTGATGACGTTAGTACGAAATAAGAGTCTCGTAAATTTCGAGACATATAATAACAATTCATTAACAGCAGTAGAGCTGAGCTTTGGCAAGATGGAATATCTCCTAAAGACTAGCCTACCATGGTAGAATTAAAAAGACGAATTTGTCATATTTCTGTAGACGGAATAAGGGGCAGAAAATGCTTTACCCATAATTAACCCACAGAGATGTACATTGTGTCGTCCTAAGGGTTTAAAAGAGTACGAATAAACACTCTTGAAAAACCTTTAGCAACTACTGAACGTTTACGGTGGCCACCTTGGGCAAAACAATGGATTTCACAACAGTGAAACTTACTTACCGTGTTCCGTAGTTTAGCAAAAAATTTTTTCAGTGACTCCATGTTGGATTGAGTAGTGCTGCCTTTTTTTTTGGCCTCTTCCGTCGAAAAGCTCGTTTCTTCTTTCGGGAGGCCTGTCTTGCCTGAGCAGCCACACAGTCTTACATGCGTACCTGTAACATATGTAAATAAAAATCAAGAATATGTGCATCGAGTGTTAAACAATATCGATCTTGCATTGAAAGTTTAGGTTAGCGTAACATTATTGCGTCGTTGTTGATGTTTTACTCATATACGTTTTTGTATAAAGATAAAGACTTGCTTACGCGTCAGCTCATACGCCAACCACCATCGCATACATGTACATGTATTCGTTGGTCATAAATGTCATCCGTCATGCGGAGGGGCTACAATGCGTGTAGTACATTGTCGAGGGCCAGCTTTTGCTATTTCCCATTGGCATTTGATGCGTTCTGCACGTCAAACAAGCATACGTCAAAATAAATTTTCGGCTAATTTTCGTTGTCTAACATAAAAACCTATTACATTTAGCCGTTTTCAGGCGGCTGCAGTGACAACGAGGAGTGCAAGCCACTTCACTGATTGAACTTGCTTATTAGTCATCGTTGTCATGACCAAGGCACTACAACCATTGCATATGTTAGCGTCTGCGTTTTGTTGTCAATGATATATTTTTTCATTCAATTTATGCAAAATTTCGGAATCGGTCTAGTGATCGACGTTGCGCGGCTTGCAAAATGGTCCTCAAATAGAGCCTTTTGTTCTCAGCTCAAGGAGCCCAACCAGCGCATACAATCGTTGTCGTCCGTCTTTATCAATCCTACGAACTTTGTTCTTGGACTTGTGTAGCAAAGTTACTTATACGGACTCTAGCTGCTTAAGTCATTGCTACCTTTTGCTAGTTTCATTTCTGGCCATCCTATAAAAAAATAAATCTTCCGAGTTTAAAATAACAAGCTAGTATGGCACGTACGACTTTAGTGGTACCACGTTTTGCTACTGGCTACTAATGGTAATGCAATAGCAATGATGAGGGACAGCGCAAACGATCAAGGAGTCGATGGACGAGAGGAAGGATATACTGGTAGCTGCTGAAACAACGCTCTCTTTCAAGCGTCCGGCGATCTCAATTTTTTTCTTGATAGAGGGATCTCATCCTCGGAAATAAAAAACCTTATTAAAACAGCTATGAAATCGGAGCAGCGGTAGGAACATAAATTTCCTATTTATGTCATCATGCTTATTGTTATTACGCTTTTGTTGGTGCTGACGATGACCGTTATGACAATCTATTGCCTTTTCTGAAAGTGGAACCGCTACAGATTCCGGCTCTTGTTGGCGGGGGGCACTCGTAGCAAGGGACCGAGCGCCGAAGCCGGCTGCCGTCACCCCGCTAACGGGTAAAGACGAAAGTCAACTTACCGGTTCTATCTAGTCAGATAAAGACCATGATCGTGAAAATGAAACAGAACAACAATGATTGCTAAGATTACGCTCACGATAATGATGCCGGCAAATGATTATTTTCATATTAATTATGACAATGGAGGTCAGTGTACGCGGCGTACAGCCGCTGGGGCTGCTGTTCGACATTTTCATTCACAGCCGTATTACTCCACTCGTAAACGGCCCGTCCTATTTCTGCGCCGTTGGCTAATCTACTGTTTCTAGGAGCACGGGTCCTGCCGGTTAGGCGGATCAATTCCTTCCTAAACAACGATGGGCATCCTCGTTCCTATTTGCGTATACAATCGTATCTAGATTTATTTACGGTCCGTAGTCCAGTCAAGTAAACTCTCATTAATGGTTCTCATCGACCTTATCACACTAGTGCATACAAAATCGGAGTACCTATGGCGGCTCCTCACTGTAACCATGTGTCCTTGTTATCGTCTTAGTAGCAGCTCTACGGGCGATGTTCATCGTAATCATGAAATTAAATTGTCTTTACCTTAAGCAGTAATTCAACCTCTAAATCCCCATTCATTGCCTCCACAGGAGATAGCTGCAGCTGTTGATTATTGCACTATGTTCTGATACGATTTTTATTGCTGCTGCTGCTACTGCTGCTGCTAGGATCTTTTGTCGCTGCTGTTGTTTGATACAATTACGTTTGTTTTTGTTGTCGTTTGTGTTGCTTGTTAGTGAAGAAGTTTTTGCGGTTCTTTAGGGCTGCACAAAAGGACGTTGTTGCCAATAATATCAACGATACTCTTGTTGTCCCTATAACCTATCGTGATAATAGCATATTTGTGAGATGCCGTCCAGTGCCTAGCGTAGGGACCACAGGTCAAGGCCCACCGAGGGTTTAAACAGTACCTTTTGTTTAAGCACTATCAACTCATTATCGATAACAGCACTCATCTGTTTCCTCTATTTCATGCACTTGCGCGATTTCCACAATTGCTACTAGGACACTCCTTTTTGCTTAGCCCCCGTCAATAGATAACTGCCGCTACAAGCTGTTTCTGTTAGCTGGACTACACGGCTTGCCTCTAACGATCAGAATGATGCGAATACTGCTTGCAAAGGCCCAATCGCACCGCTTACATATTTCAACTATCGACATAAAAGAAGGGAAGGCCAAGAGGTATAAATAAAAATGTTTACGACGTACGGTTCGGTTTGCGTGGCGCTAACGATTACCAAATTTATAACACTTCCAATAGCTAGTTAATTCTAGGTAATGACAAGGTCGAAAATTTGATAGGAGCTTTTAGGTCAACAGCTGGACGAACCAAACGGCCCAATTAGATGTTTGCATGACGACATTGTTCTGCATACTTTGGCCATAGTTTTAGTTGGATTTACTAATGGCCTTGGACTTTATACCCGAAAGTGCCACTAGGCCAAATGGTTAATGGTATTGGCTGGAACGATCGTTACCTTTCTTCGAACTTAGTTAACTTGGACTGAAGAAATATGAATTGATAAAGTTTTGTACATTTTCAATATATAGCATAAATTATTCGTTGACATTTACCGTAACTGTTAAGAACAGCATTAGTATTAAGATCCAGATGAGAGTTTTTCGCCGATGTTTTACTTATGTATATATATATTGTAGATATATGTACTATTTTTAACAATACTGTTTTCTTTACAAATATTTTAGTGTGAAATAATTAGCTTTTTTGGGAAAGCACTTAAAATTGATATAAATTATATATTTCTGTCATGACACAATGGTTGATTAAGTTTTTCGATTTAGATTCGACAAGTTTTTAGCTAAACGTTTTTGCTAGCACAATTATTATTATTATATACCTTATTATAAAAGTAAATCAAAATTCTAATATATTTACAATATGAGAAGATTTTTTCCTAATTTAATTAATGATCAGTTTTATTGATGAAGCTTCTAAAAAACTAAAGCACTGATGCAAGTCAGGTTGATTAGTAAAAATAATTTATACTTATTAATATATATATTAATAAGATAGCTCTTTCAAATTAAAAAAATCAAACATTCTATCTGAACACAGTAACAAACAAATGTAATAAATTGTAGATTTATTTATAAAATAGTTTTACTTTTTAATGTGTGTTACATTCGTATTTTGAAAGAAAAAAATACTCGGTATTAAAATTAGCAACTAAACTGGCAGATATCTGATCGATTGTGAAGTTTGCTGCTGATTATAATGGCCACTATAAAACATCTACAATTTATATCCCGAATAAAAATGGAGGACTTCTGATAGACTTCAAAGCCAATCCCATCAGGTAAACGTAACCGAGTAGACAACTGAAAAGCCATCCTGGCAGTGAACCTTCCTAACACAATGAGCGCCAGTCAGTCTGCCAACCGAGCGGTGTTACCGATGTTGCCGTGGGTAACGTGGCATTGCCCAGCGCGAAGGCGGTGTGCCTTATTCATCGCCCATTAGAATACATCGGCACTAGAGTACCGTGTTGATGGACGGTACTTCGAATATCTACTAATTTCCGCACCTTCAAAGGCCAACCAGTATAGACAATTGGTCGGACCTAATCGTCGCTCAACGGTAGGGAATCAGCAGGCGGTATTTTTATGACGGTGATATTCATTTTGTAAATTACCTTGTATTGTTGGCTGTCAACCACTATTGTGACTCTACAAATGTGCCTTGCATGACGAATGAAGAAAGAAGAGCAGCGGAATCCTGGACGGCGAGAACAAAAAGCTTGTTTCATAACGACAGTCGTATGAGTCGGTCATGTGCTGTTTAGTAAACGAGACACAGAGAAGCAAAACGGGTGAGCTGGATTTGATTTTTAACCTACATTTTTATTGAAAATTTTAAATACACTTAGTGGTCATAAAACAGTGAATATGTTATAGCGAAATGTTCATTTCTAATGTAAGTAGGAAGATAATAGCTGTTTGCTACGATCGAATATATTGTAACCATGTTGTTTTTTTTGTACGTATTGCCTCAGCGGCTGGCTGCAATGTTATTAAGTCTTTTGGGGTGACGCGTCAACTTAACTGAATATCGTCTGCAACTTTTCGACGAGACAATCTCTATCAAACCAGTTTTTTTCTTGCTAAAAATGCTCGCGGTCGATCAGTTGCACCAGGAACTGCTCTTCATTTGACCGTTTTCATAACCTAGGTAGGCTACGTAGTCGCAGGAATCGCCTGATACGATATGACAAAGCTATAAAGTGTCTAATTTTGCGTAACACATTACGCTACAGCTACTGCATTGACTCTGAAATCCTGCATTCGGCCAGACATCGACTCGCGTAATCAATACTGTGAGCATTATAAGCCACTGCAAAAGCTCGCTTGTCCAAATGCTGGTCCTAGTGCACTGATAGTCACGGCGCTGTTTATATTGATGTACATAAAAAATTTGCCATTTGACCAGCTGGCTGTGCTCATTTTTTCCATTCCTCTGCCACCTTCGGAATCGAGTGTAGGCAAATCAATACTCGCTCGCTGCTGTTTGGCTTAGCCGTTACGACGTCCTGGAATCGTGATACATCAGTAGAGCAACCGAATAGGCCTCAGTTGTGGTACCTCTTCTTCGTGACGGCGAAGATATATAGAGAGGATGAGACATGCGTGCTTTACAGCCGCACTGCTGTCGACTGCGGGCAATCTCGTACAGGCATACGTGATTACCCCACTTGTTGATTGCAGTTATGCGATTATTTCTCATCAGATGTTGAAGTGAAGATACCAAAAATGTAAAAGCCACTCATGCTAGCAAGATTGAACAATGTTTTTTCTAGCTGTAATCATTTTCGAAGCATAGCGATGAATGCGATTTCTTTCTTAAGGGAACAACAATCCAAGACCCAGGTCGGACCCACAGAGTAACGCCTCCAACTTTATACCGAAAATGGACTACTACTTTTTTCTTTCAATATTAATTTTTTTTGGGTAGTTCACAATTTTCGACACGTTTAGCTTAGTTTTGTTTAGGTCACTTCGAAGTATGTGCTGTAGCAATAGCACCTAGCAGCATAGATCCTTAACCAGACAGCCCTACGAACCAAACAGTTTGCCTCTTTTATATATTTGGAGTCCCCGTATAGTAAAAAAAAATCATTCATGGTGTTACCCTTTTTACGGCTATTCACATTGCAAAGAATGATGATATAACAATTTGAGTAAAATCTGTCAAGTATTTATAAGAAAAACATGATATTTTTTATAAATTTTTTTCTACTTGTATTTCGAACATTCCCAAATTTAATGGGTACAAATATACATGGCCTGATTGCCTGGCACATAAAAGATGGGCAAACGGTCAAATGAGAAAGACATACTAAGAATGGTTTGAAGCAGATACGATTGGCCGGTTTGTACCGCTGTCAGTCTTTGGTTGGATGTGGGCCGCGCTATCAAATACGATGAAGATGAAAGCTCTGTGATGAATCCATTTCGAAATCGCTTTTGTCATGCATAGATTAAAAATGCCAAAATCTTCAAAAATATATGTTTAAGAAAAATAAATGTACAAACAGTTTTCGGCTTCAAGTTAGGAATTCTGCATTTTACGTTCTTCAATTATCTTTTTATTGTTCTCGACATAAATTCAAAAAGCCTATTCTTTAGTATAATCACCCTGTGCGTCTGTATGTACCTCAATGTTTCGAGTTTTACGTCCGGTATCACCGTTAAACGTTCCATAAGACAGACGCTGACTCCCAGCACGGCACGAACTCTGTGTGTCTATACCCGGTTTCGAACCTAGACCACAACGTGTCCCTAAGATTAGCAGGCACGCCTGTATGTACCTACAGCCGATCCAAGTGTTCTAAAGCTATAAATATTGGCTTGAGTATGTAAAAAAAAAAGTATATATATTGCAATATACGACACGGTTTTTGTACTTAACATTTTCATAATGAGTACAGCCATTGGTCGGCATGCTAATGCCCGGCCATCGCCCGGCGACAGCATTACCGATACTTATAAAATTTATTCTCACAATCGCCGTATGTTATTGTATACCTTCCTTTGATGTCCTTAGATTCCGCAGATTTCTGGAAAAGGCAACTTCTTCCTCTGTTCTATACTTTTGAAGATATTTCAAAGCGCAAGTTATTCAATACCCATTGGTGGTTATAAAAACTTCAGCTGCTGTCTTCAAAATCGTACAGAATCTCTATTTATAGGAAATATCGTTCGAGTTTATGAACTAGTGGAAAAAAAACTCCTTGATATTGACTTCTTCTAATGCCGAAAAATTGTCTATATATTTAATCGCGGTGATTGCGTCGGGATATGTCGGTTTTTCTTAGTTGCGCTTCACGTAGCACCTGTCACAGCACTGGCTTGTTCTATGTAGACTATCGACAACGACTCCTCATCTGCAATTTCATAATAACATAGTAATCGGTGATTTAATAAAGGCACTTTAATGGGGAATAAAATCATCATGAGTGAGTCATGCATAAGAAGCTTGATCCTGGATGCGACGTACCATGCACCTGGTTACAACATGACGATTTGAGCGACTCAGCGCCATCTATGCGTAGTTTAACACAGCTACAAAGAGAAACTTTACGTCATCTTTCGGCGATTTGCCCATTAAGGGCAGGACCAAGCAGCCAGCCGAAACGTCGTTTTGTAGTGGCTTGTGCTTTGGTTTGTCACATAAGGCCAAATGGTCCTCAGTCAGCAGTCACCGGTGCTATTTTGGAGTTAAGTAACAAAAGCTCGGTAGCGACTAAAGAAAGATGTGGTTCCTGATGGTAGACACCTTTACCATAGACCTTTTTCATTTTTCCATGATGTAAGGCTACGAAAGGCTTCTATCGCTCAACGAAAGAAGTAGCCCGATAGAAAAAAATTGAATTACAATTTTTTGGGCATGTTTGTGTATAACGTGCCTAGTTACTAGCTTAATTTATGGAGGGGTGTTTGCACCCACGTTTTCCCAACATTTTTGTAAAGTAAAATTGTTCTTATCGAAGTAGTTCAATTGTGGCTCGGCGCATACTTAACAGTATTTTTCTTGTATTGCCTAAAATGAGCAAGTTCAAAAATGGTCCTTACTTACCGTCCCAATGTAAGTCAGACCCATCATGAGGCCGGTACCTGTAACCGAGACGAAAACACTGAATAAGATATGAGACCCCAATTTAGGATATTCCGCTTTTGTTTCATGTTTAACAGAACGACAGTGGCATCCAGCTACATTTACTGACAATGATTAATATAAACAAGGATACTTGCGTCGAGTTCAAAGACAGAATTGATCTAGTGGCACAGTTACATGGGCGGCAACCTTCTCGATAGCTTTCGACAGCCTTTAACAACTATAGCAACAACAACAACAGCAACAATGCCAAAGACAACAACATCTCAGTTGCAGTAAAACGTTGCTAGCTTTGTCAAAAACGTTCGTTCCTGTTTATATTGCGCTCTACACACACACATAAAAAATTACTTGTTGTCGCGCCGCCTAACGTTTTTTCAACCGCTTAATATGGTAGTAATAATAATAATGTGTCTGTAATATTAATAATAACAACATAGGCCTGTTCACATACATACGTTCCGCTTATTCTTTTACAGAAACGGATAGATATCAAGGGTTTAAACGTTGCGAATACGCACGCGCATCGTTGTAGGGCTCAGATAGAAACAGCTTTGTATTAAGCCTATTTTAGAACCATTTCACAGTGTTCCACAGTACAAGTACATGGCGTGCCTTCCATTAAACGAAACTAGCAAGGCCAATATGGACAGAATCAATCAAATGAAACGAATACCAAATTCACATAAATAAAGTTGACGGCACCTACTGAATAAACTTAGAGTTCGACTAACGGTTACATCGTGCTTCATAACATTGGTGTGTATAGTCACTGCGAAAATTTTTATCTAACAATCCTCGGATCCATCCATCCATCCATGCTCGATATCGATTTGGTCGCTATCGCCACTACTCAAGCGTTTGTTGTCGTAGCTCAGAGCAGTTCGTTCGTCAATGACAGCTTTTATCATCATCATTATCTCTTTACTGGTGTTTTATCGCCAGTGACAACTGTGTAACAAAACAAACCGACATTTTCACCCGATGGAGAAGCGCCATATCTGATTTTTAATTGTTACATTCATGTTCTAAAGCTTTGCACATATAATTTTTGTCATGAAAAATCCGTTAGTTCTGTGGCATATCTCCACTACCATTCGAGACTTACCTCTGTTCTGATTTGCGGAACCAGCGAGTGACTAATTCAATCGCGACACGATGCACCGACGCACGTAAACACTATCCATGATATTAAACATGATCTTGATACGAAGTAAACAGAAGCAGACAAAGAATTATTTACAAAAGTCGTGGTAGTTGTAGTAGCGGTGCGAAATAGGACATAACAAAGTAGCAGGTTGAAAGCAACAGAAAAAAACGTCGCTTTCTTTTTCTTGCTTTCTGAAAAAACGTCCCGTGTTTCTTGTCGTCAAAACACAATCTTTAGTCGTCTATATAGGAGCCAGGGGAACTCCTGAATGCCAATAGCGAACCGCTGAGCGTTACACATGCGTTGGACATCTGTTACTAACCAAAAATAATACCTTTGATGTGCGAATAATCATTACGGCAGTTTTTGTTTGATGGGGTTCCGTTGGGGTTCCGCCGCCGCTAGCGCCACCTGCCGCCTTCGTCTATTCGTCGGCCTGGACAAAGCCGAATATGAACGCATCGACAGTTCGGCCAAACAGTGATGACGGCTGCTTCGTCATCATCTAATTCTGGTCAGCATCGATAGCAGCAATATCCGACACAGTAATATCAAATGGTATTGAGAAGTACCACAGGCGTACCGCTGTAAAAACGGCGCCACCGTGTTACTGAAATGATAACAAAAACGATACTTCTATCACTAGCCAAACTGCTACGGCTACCTCAATTGAATGCTGAATCTGGTTACAAGGATACAAACATATTTGAAAGCTGTAGCATCATATGCTTTCTGATCATGTTTGCATGGAGAATGAGTTGATGAGAGCAATATGTTTCGGGGAGTGGCGAAAAGGGAACTTCAGCCAAGCGATACATATGTCCAGGAACTATCGATCGATAAGTATGCGTTTCGAGTGCGTCGGATGGCAAACGGGTGAAGGATAGACAAACCGAGTGTATATGCTCGAACACAACCTAATACATCCAATGTGCTTCAAGTGTTTTTGTTTACGTAATCGTTTCCGTTTGGCAGGTAATGCGTGAAAGCCACGGTAACAAGAAATACGGCAGCTCCATAGAACCAACAGCTGCCGCATCGCTGTCAGTTACGCTCAACCAGACTGCTCCTAGGCTACGTTATAGGAACTCTGTTTGCATCCCGTCGTTGCAGGACAACACCAACGGGACTGTAGAGCTGTTTCTATGACCTAATGAGGGCGTTCTACCTCATACATTGAAATATTAGCACCATTTTTGAGGAAACGCATTGCTAGTCCTCTCAACGCTAGTCATGCTTCTTACAAAGCCACTCCACCGTTATCGTACCTATGACCTTTATCGCTTATGACTTCTAGATACAACGCACAAGCGTCGCGCCGACGCTGAACTACATAAATATCTTCTCCTAACTATATATCAATACCTCCACCTACAGCCTACCTGTGAACTACATAGTTATTATTACATTGTATGTACGGGATATGGCATGAAACTATATAACCGGTGAGGATTCTTGCCCGTCCAGCATTGTTCTCATGGATTAGTGCACTATGTGACGATACGCGATATTTGTCCGTCGATGCATGTGTCGTATACATTTCTGTCAATTTTGCTATTCGTATGTTAAGCTTGGTGTGATGTTAATAGTGTGAAGAGATGCGAGAATCCTGAACCCGTGTCGGTGAGCAATAGGCGCACGAACGCGGTCATCATGTCCTACTTTCCTAGACGACAGGACGCGACGTGTTCTGGTGGATTTCCCTTCGTGTTTAATGTCATTCGTAGAAATACTGGCATGGAAAGATCGTTTCGTGTCACCGTTGTTGCCAGATAGACAGGTACACGTTAGTGGGAAAGAAGATTTTTGGAACACACAGTAAGACGTTCTATTTTATGAAGAAAAAATCGCATCGTGTGACAAACTGTTAGTCATTTTTTTGTCGCCGCTGCTATTATTATTGTGGTCTATGTTGCCGACGATTCTTCCGACGCCGCTAAATATTCTATAATCACGTGTTTACATAGATTGACTCTTCACATCAATATATTTACATCCTGTCACGTTTTGCCAATGTGCGATGTCACCGAGTGGGTCACTCAATCAGATGATTACGTACAAAATTTAGGTGCGATTCCCCATGAGGTCTACATAGCCATCCATTCAACGATAATAGCCATATCCTGCCATCCTGTTTCCTGCTAATATCTTGAAGACCCTCGAGCGCTTCAACGGTCATTACTGCACTGATGCCATGAGATGGTGGCCACTCCTATCAACGCGGCGGCGCTGCCGGCAGGCGTCTACCTACTGTGATTCTCCAATGCAGCCGAGCTAAACCACGGTGACCTGAACGTCACACATAACCTGAACGTACACGTTTACCGCACGTTACACCAGCCCACCAACAACGGTGCGCCAAAGAGTCTGACAATTTTGTTTGTTATACAACGCATCACCGCCTACTTTGGCTACAACCACGCCAGCCCGGAAGCGTGACAATCTGCTAGCAGCGGTCCCCTCACAACTACTCGACCAGCCAGACCGACAACATAATAGCAAGCCTATCAACCAGTAAATACGTCGTGAGATTCATCGTTATATTTTTTGTGCGCACGGGATTTTTGTTGTGCGTAAAGCGAGGGGATACTCCGAGAACTGGCAGCAGTAGAAACGAATGCCCGCGGCAAAAAGTTGCCAGCAAGGCGTTGCCCCTGTTACCGGTTAGCAGCAGAGCAAAAACGTCCGCGGCCAATGCACTCTGTGTATGTACAGTATCACTACCAACCCTCCTATTCCCTGGAATCGACCGTTCCGGTACGGTATTTTGCTTTTGATGCCCCTGTTGTCCATCGACGCTTCGCAGCCATTTATCGATGACAGTCTCGTAAATGTTGTACTCATCAGTCGTATTGGATTATTCCCTATTTAGCTAATTTTTTTCCTTCAATCATCACTATTCCCTTCCTCCATCGTCGACGCGTTTGTAGATATCGTGCGATATACACTATCCCCGCAGACGCAACGAAGTGGGGGTGTCGACCCTAATGACACGACGTTTCAATGGCAAAGCAAGCGGGGTAATATGGGCCATGTCGTGCTCAGCCGTACTCATCATTTCGCGGAAAAAACAACGCTTCGCCTCTACGTATTTCACTAGCCAGTTTTATTGTTGTATGTCAATTCGCGCGTAACGCCAAGCATTGAAGTGTGTTGAGGAAGTCGCGGCTGTTGTTGTTGTTGATGTTCCTAACCACAACTGTCGTGTAAGGTCGTACTTTACCATGTATAGTGTGGGCGTCCCGGTGATCGACGTCAATTTTGTGCTTGTTCGCCCAATCCCATTGCGTTCCTCGATACAACGATTTGCGTGCCGCTATTTTGTTTGCGACTATGTCACGCGTTGTTCGAACAAAGCACGAAGATGGCAAAGGAACGAAGCAGGACAAAGCGAGAGAGAAGTATGAGCGAAATCATCATTGATGGCTTCGTCATTCATTTTTTTGGTCCGCTGGGTCCAAAAGGTTCGAGACCTTTGATATTCGACCCGAACAAGCTATAACCGGCGATCATTGTTTGTGCGCTTCTTTTACGTTGATGTTTGTCGCTCAGTGTGTACGTTCATAGACCGATATATCTGTATATGAAAGAGCACCGCTGACACTCTCTGGTATTTGCCTTGTCCACCATTCCAATGCTGTTCGTCTCGAAAGCCGCTAAGATATCCTTTTAACTGGATGGCTTAATGTACGCTCTTCTTTACCATCCAATGCGTCTATTTGATTGCTTGGACCTTTTCTGTTCCACGCATCTATATATGCCCGCCACAACAATTTGGCGCTCACTTCTAGTTAGTACCGTCATGAGCTTGTGGGTTGATATGCAATGTTTTTCAAGATGGGCGGCAGTAGCGTATACGGCCTATATTATAGATACAGCTCTAAGTATTACCGGAATGCGATAGACGGTGTAATCATTGATTGCATATTGCGAAGTATTCGTGTCCGGTGTTATTCTCGCTATATGCTGTATCTGTTGAAGAACCGCCTCCTTTTTGTGAAGCAACCCCTTCGAACAGGTTCGCCTTTAGGCCAACTTGTCCTTTTTTTTTTAGCAATAGAGCAACAACATATCACAAACACGCTGCCGTTATTGTGATGGGCACCGTTACTCTCGCCTGGCGCACGCGAGTCCTGTTTCATTATTTCATTACATCTTTATGATAGGCGCATCGGTACCGTGAGCCGAGTCTTGGCTATTATCATGTACATACATATACAATATATTCATTGTGTACATCTAACCTGATTTATACACGGTGATCGTGTGCCGACAAAAAAGGAGTAGGAAAATCCACAGTGATATTTCTTCCTTAGGACAGTCCTGGCTTGAGACAGCATGTATGTCTATGGTTGGTGATTGCACTCGATCAA